CGGCCGTTTAGCACGCTGGAGCCTTAGGCTTCAAGAGTTTGTTATGACCATAATTTATAAATCAGAGAAGAAGCACACCGACGCTGACTGCCTCTCACGGTCACCCGTCAAGCCTGTCGCTATTAATGACGAGTCTATGGACGCTGGATTCTTGAGAGTCATCAACGCGGCCACTATTTCACAAGAGCATCGCAGTGACCCTGACCTGCTTTCGCTTATCGACTTCTTAGAAGGACGACGTGAAGACGTGCCGCAAGTTTTTGCGAGAGGATTGCCATCTTTTTGTTTAAGGAACGACGTCCTATACAAGAAAACTTTTCTCCCACCGGCAGCCCATACTTGCTTGTCCTCCCTGCATCATTGCGAAAAGAAATTCTGGACGCCTGCCATGCTGAAGTCACCTCCGGTCATCTCGGCTACACTCAAACATTGTCCCGTCTGGAGAACAGTTACTACTGGCCGAACCTACCTGTTGCTGTAAAACATCACGTCCGAACCAGTGCCGTCTGTCAAAGATGCAAAGCACCCCCCAACAGGCTTATTACATTCCGTCCAAGTACCAGTAAAGCCATTCGCCCAAATCTAAATGAATTTCCTGGGCCTATTCCCAACTTCTACCACATGGAACACATGGATCATTGTCTCCACCGATTACTTGTCTCGTTACACAGAAACTAAAGCCATGCCGAGGGCCACAGCAGCAGAAGCGGCTCATTTCTTCATAAAAAACGTCGTCCTTCGGCACAGTGCTCCAACAGTCCTGATCGGGATAGAGGAACTGCGTTCATAGCAGAACTTTTGGAGTTGGTTTTCAGGCTCAGCGGTACAGCTCACTGGAGAACAACGGCCTATCATCCACAAACGAACGAACTAACAGAGCGGCTTAAGAAGACCCTCGCAGACATGCTCTGCACGTATGTCAACACAGAACACAAGAACTGGGATGAAATCCTGCCTTATGTGACCTTCGCCTATAATACCGCTAGGCAGCAAACTACCGAAATGACGCCGTTTAGTTTAACACACGGGCGCGAAGTCACTACAACGTTAGACGCTATGCTGCCGCACGAGTGTGACAGCACTCATGCTGACGCCGAAGATTTTGGCCAGCGCGCCGAAGAAGCCCAACAGCTAGCCCGCTTGAGTATTTGTCACCAGCAACACAAAGATGCGAAACGGTACGACCTAGGACATAAATTAGTAACCTACACACCAGGCGACAAGGTATGGGTCTAGACCCCAATACGTTGAAGCGGACTTTCAGAGAAGCTATCATGACGATAAACTCGGCCCATATCGAGTCACCCGACGATTGAACGACATCAACTGCAAAGTTATTCACGACGGCGATTGCAGTTCCCGTTATCCAGATGAAACCCTACTCGTCCAGCTAACTCTCGTTTGTCCTGTGGGTGCCGGTGCATATGTGCATTTTTATAAGTAGAGTGCTTTGGCTGCGCATCGGGACGATGCCATTTTTGGAGGGAGGCAAATGTCCTGTGCGTCCTGCGAGAAAGACGAAGGCGACAGTGCATACGCGTCTGCACGCTTTTATGCAGAACGCAACGAGAAAGACGAGGAAATCTCTGGCACGCGGTAAATAAAAAGACCAACCCGCTGCTGCTTTCTCAGCATCTTTAAATACGACCTTTGTCTTCACGTCGCGACAATATTCTTGCTCTTCACTGTAGATGCAGCTGAAGAAGTGGCTTTTTACAACACTTTGACAAATGTAATGTCTATCTTTGTGACGATCGCACAGACTGCCGTCAGTTTACGTGACCCGGCCAGATATTTTCAAAACTTCCCCAACCTTTCCAGGTTTCCCAGGTTGGTAGGCACCCTGTTATTTCATAGTAAGGGTCTCGTTGGTTCCGGAAGACTTAGTGCCTTTGGGTATACAAGGGATTATCAGTCAGCTGCAAGCTCGTAATAAGTTAACGTGCTATGTGACACCAAACAGGCTGATAAAGAGTGTTCCACACTCGCCGCCATGGCCATCGGTGGCGCTGACCGACGCTCCCACGTTTAATGCACATATATACCCCACAAAGTGGACGGGGGCATGGCTTCCATGGTAGCTCAGTTGGTAGAGCATTGAATGTGTTACAGTTTAACCCCTTTATAAGAGGCAGGCTCCGGGCAGGAATTCTTGTCTCTTATATGAGATGTCTCTTATAAGTAGGGTGCCTCGTATGCATTTTCTTATGAACCTGTATTTTACTGTAGGTGCACTGGTGTCTCTTATACCCATTTGTCTCTTATATCAGTGTCTCATATAAAGAGGTTCAACTGTATTCCAAGGCCGGAAGTTCAGTCTCTGCCCATGGCAAATTGTCTTTTCGTCTACTTTTCTTTCTTTACATATATACATTACAATTACTTCTAGCACCATCCCCTACACTTTCCTTGGCATGATTGTCTGCTAGATCTGATTAATCAAGCTTTGGAGCATTAGAAAAGAACTTAATAATTCAAATCGTGAGATTTCACAGGCCTTTTTTCATTTCATTTATTTACTCTCAATGCCGTAAGGCGTTACAGAGAGGAGGGGTGCAATGCTGTGTCAGTGTTGACCGTCTAGTTGTGTATGTGCGTTTGTGCACTGTGTAAGCATTTTTGATGCTCATGCTGCCGTAAATATACACAAACCTGCCACCACCAAACTAAACACCCACTAGCCTTTGATCAGATCTAATGTTATGCAGTCTTTCATAGTTTTTCCGGAAGACTTGCCTTACATGCTTTTCCGCCCAATCCAGTAGTTACACATGTTACTTTTGCGTCCTGTGTGGCTTTGATTTCACTTGATAAGGCTAGATGACTAACATGCAAAGCAGTACAGTTCAAAATAGATGTTTTCTTCCAACTTTCCAATGTCACTGGAATTGTTAAAGCATTGCTATCCTTATCTTGCAATGTGTTCATATTGGTCCATAATGATGAGTTTCTTTTAAAGGGCCAGTAAACACGCTCCTACTTTTTTTTTTTACACCCCTCATACAAGCTCGGCAACTAGTAGGTTAGACCGCAGCGATCACGTTTTCTGACTGTTACAGCGCTGTGCGCCGCGCGGAGCCTCTATTTCGAAAAAATATTCTTGCGCATCTTTCCTACGCCTGGCCGACACCCTTGCAAGCGCATCGACGTCAACTTGGCGATCAGCGACGTGACGTAGCACACAGCTCGCCGATTGGTCTAAATCAGGTGTGTAAAAACAGAAGTTAAGTCAACGACAGTTCCTGTTCCCACCTACAGCTACGAAACTGCCCCTTGTTTCCTGGCACTGCAGTGAAAGAACCAGCCTTGCAGTTGTCGCGTGCACGTGTACACTCCTCGCTCAACTACAGCGCCTGTGCGCACGTGCGAACGTACTTCGCTCTTGACAAGAGCAACACTGGTAAAAAGCGTTGCTCTGTCGTCGGCTGAAAATCGAGCAACTGGGCAGCGAAGAAGCATCGACACCGGATGCCTCACGATGGGACTCTGCGCGCTGCATGGCTGAAGCGAATCGACCATCCAGCGACATACGTGGGGGCCTGATCGTTTGTGGCCGACACTTCCCACCTGATGCTTACACGGTTGACCCGCGGCTGGTGCGGCAAACGATAAACAAACAACCACGCTTCTCAGCAAGCGGAAGTGCGTTGCGACTAATCGAATTCACCAATGATGTCAATCGCTGACGTAGTGCCACTTTGCCAACGTGGGTGAAGTCACGACAATGGGCTACACCTTCCCCTTCATGGAAGAGAGAAAGGGGCGAGGCCCCGCGAAAATTTGAAAGCAGCTTACACCGATGTTGAAACTCCTGTAACTTTCTTAACATAGCACATATTCGCAAATTCTTGCGGCAGCATGTTCGCAAAGAAAAACTGTACATAAATCGCCTTTTGAAAACTTCTGGACCTCAGGGCTGTTTACAGGCTCTTTAAGTCAATTAGATGCTGCTGTCTTTCTTTGCTGCTGCTCCTAAAATAGTTACAAAAGTAAACAAGAAAAGCAGTTCCTGCAAGGCTAACGGCACTGGGTTCAGCATGGTCATCACATTGTAACCTGCTGGGCATATCATGTCATGCAGTCTGAACAAAGTAAGATTGGCCTATTTTAAGGAAAAATGCTGGTTTTAAAACTCCACCTCCTTTTAATATTCTTGATAAATTTTGTAGAAACTTGGTGAGCTGATGTCTCATTTGTGGTGGTGCTAGTTATAGAGGGAATAAACAGTGGCTAGAAAGGCCCTACTTATCAGGCATTTCAGTGCTCGCATGAGTGAGCTTGATACCTATCAAGGAGCCCCCTGACATACATCAAGTTTTACTTGCAAATTTGTGTCACGACGAGTGTCGACAATACAATGCAGCAAAGTGCTGAAGAAGTTATGGCTGTCTTGCACAGTTGCTATACAAAGGAATGTTTAGAAACAACATTGTAGAACACAAATGCTGTGGCACAAGCAGACGACTCGTCTAGCTTTACCTGATGTATGTTCATGCAATGTGAAATCATACGAAAATCGCTGCTGCTTCACTGAAACAAGCAGACTGTTCCAATCTGTGTGCAGCACGTTGCCTCAAGCCATCACTAGCAGGGAGGGCGCTTGCTGCATCATATGCAGGCGTTTGGCGTGAGGGTGTTCTGTCATCCGTTCATGACTGCGATGATGAGTGATGATGAGCTGCTCATGTTTCTGAAAGCAATGCATTTGTGTGGCGCATTTGATGATCTTACGCAAGGGGCTGCGGTGAGAGGTGGTGGTGTAGCGTGTTTCGGCTGTCACCTTTTAATGTGGCTTACAAATGAAGTTAACTGAAGGCTTTATGGAAGGAATAAGGCACAAACGAAAAGAACACAAGAAGAGGCATTGACGAACGCCTAATCTTGTGTTCGTATCGTTTGTGCCTTATTCCTCCCATTAGAGATGCACCAACTAGCCCAACAAAAAGCTCTACTTTACTGAAGGCCACTGTGAGGCTAGAAAATTCTTAAGATGCACTTACTGTGAGATCCAACTTGAGGTACTTGAGCAGGTTCCGACAGGAGGATTTGGATTGGTTAGAAACAGAAGGTATGACAGGGTCCTGCTGGGGTGCCAGCTTCACGGGGATATCCGGCACAACTGTTAGTGATATCTATGAGAACGAGAACATCCTTGTCATGTACCTCACAGCCAAATGTGGCACCAAGAGCAGAAAGATGTTACATATATAATCACATGTGCACTTTGCCAACGGCTTAACTTGAGAGCTTTCAGAATTTTCAATCTTCAATCAATACTACAATTCCAGATATCCAGAAAAAAAACAGCTGTAAAAAGTGCTCTAAAAGTTTAAAAGCACAAAATATAATCTGGCCTCAGAGTATTGATTGATTTGTGGGGTTTAACGTACTAGATTAAGCACAAAAACATTACAAGCTATTATGGACAAGCTCATAAGTTTATGGACAAGCTGTTGGGAGAACGCGGTGATGATGAACTTTTTGCAAGTGATCTGCACTCCGCTATGCTTTAGTAGCCTTAGAGTCCTGTCAGCAGACGGGGATGCCTTGGGGCTGTTGCATAAGCGTGCCGTATGGCTACAACAGTGCATTCTTCCTGTACCGTGCAGGTGTTAGTGTCAATACAGCAAGGTTGTTCGGTGGCCACGACCCACAATGTTAAACTCTGCTGCAACGAACTGCTTGCGTTTCTGCAAAGCTGTGCGCACTAGAACACGGTCCTGCATTCCCAGGCAGCAGTGATTGGTGGCCTAGCGTGTTCAGGTAGCTACGTAATAAAAGCATGCAGTAGGCTTAAAGTAGTGCTATACCACGCGCGTGCCGTAGCAGATAGCCGAGGATGCTTTCCGTAATAAGGCTTTTTTGCCGGCAAGAAGTCACACTGGTGAATTTGTTAGTAATCGTTCTCTCGCCTTCCTTTATTCCTGTATGATTACTCGCAAAGGTGCTGCCGTAATCGTGTGGAGTTTAGAATAATTGATCGATTGATCTCCGCACTTATCAAAATGTCGAAAACTGTTTGCGGCACAATGTAGGTCCAAGTTCAGGGTCGTTGTATACTTTTAGCACAAAATCTGATCGCTGTGGACAGCTGGCACGTACTTACTGGTTGGCATTAAACGAACCACTGTGGCGTAAGTAGTCAGTGAACGCATTAGTCTCAATGAGACTAGGTCGGGGATTCGTCCCAACGTTTTAATCATTTGACTGCACCACACACTATGGCGATGCTGCCGAAAGTGGAGTCTACTCGGTATTTAAGCCCCGCCGCGGAGGTATAGTGGCTAAGGTACTCGGCTGCTGACCCGCAGGTCGCGGGATCGAATCCCAGCTGCGGCGGCTGCATTTCTGATGGATGCGGAAATGTTGTAGGCCCGTGTGCTCAGATTTGGGTGCACGTTAGAGAACCCCAGGTGGTCAAAATTTCTGTAGCCCTCCACTACGGCGTCTCTCATAATCATATAGTGGTTTTGGGACGTTAAACCCCACATATCAATACTCGGTATTTAAAATGATGCTGGAATGGTATTGGCACTTTTGCACAAATCCATTGAGCTAGCAGAGGAAGTTCTTGTTATCATTAGTGGTCATCCTTAAGTTATCTGTACAAAGTGTCTCATTTATTTTAAGGTGTCAAATCTGCGAATTGCTATGTATCATATTATTGCTGGTTTCACTCAGCTTTTCTATGATGCATGCCACAGTTGGGCAATGCTGCCCTGGCATTTGATTTGATTTGATGTGCCACACTCATCTCAGTCAATTTTTCCAGATCAATTGGAACAAATATTGTTTATAATGGTTCGAGCACTTCATAATTAGTACTACTATAATAAATCAAAGCAAGAAGAGAATACAAAATGACACTCGATGGCTGCAGTTGGCAGCTTCCAACAGATAGCTGTCATAGTGGTAGCACTTGAATGTTGTATGATTATTTACTTGAAAGGACCATCAGGGCCTTTTTAAATTGGAATTATTCTGCTCTTGTAGTGCTACTGTAGAATACTCTGAGGCCGCCCCGCCGCGGTGGTCTAGTGGCTAAGGTACTCGGCTGCTGACCCGCAGGTCGCGGGTTCAAATCCCGGCTGCGGCGGCTGCATTTCTTATGGAGGCGGAAATGTCGTAGGCCCGTGTGCTCAGATTTGGTTGCACGTTAAAGAACCCCAGGTGGTCAAAATTTCCGGAGTCCTCCACTACGGCGTCTCTCATAATCATATGGTGGTTTTGGGACGTTAAACCCCACATATCAATCAATTGTATTATTTCCTAATTATACACTTGCTTTTTTTTTTCGCTTTTTTCAAAAGGAACTGGACACGACACACCTGCCTGTGTTCTCTCGTTATATCGGTGTGGTGTCGCTTGAAATAAACCGGCGGTAGCGTTTGTGCTTGTATGCCATGTCCCTTCTATTCTTCGCGTTAATGTTTTCGTGCTTAATCTAGTAATAACTTGTAGACAATAGCCTACAATTGTCTACAGTAATAACTTGTAGACAATATGGACAAGCTCATAAACTTTCAGCGCTTCGTAAACCGGCTTCGGGAGCAGAACGACTACATGATGGAGCAGATTGACAACGCCGATGAGACCCCTGTGTGGTTTGACATGCCTTCCTCGACCACGATCACGCGCGGCGCCAAGGATGTGAAGCTGCTGTCCACTGGCAACGAGCACTCGCGCTTCACCGTCATGCTGGCAGATGGTAGAAAGCTTCCGCCCTTCGTCATTTTCAAACGCAAGACAATGCGATGGTGCGACAGTTGGTGCGACAATGCGATGGTGTGACAATGCGACAGTTGCGATGGTGGTAGAGGGGAGCTCCGACGATCGGGATGGGGTGCGCCCAATTCGCAAATAAATGTGGTTCGGCAGTTTTGGGTTGTTTTCCTTTTTTTTTCTCTTTTTCCGTAACCTGAACTTGGGGGGTCGACCTATATTCCCACTCGACCTATAGTCCGGTTTATACGGTGCATCGATGAAGTCTAAAACATGCGTTGGCACCACTAGAGACCGCCGCTGTTCAGCAAGCATGGGTGCCGCCATTGCTCGATAGCGACGGCAATGAGACTGCCGTCTGCCCTGCTTTTGCCACTGGCTTGCTTTCGAGCCGCAGACGATTCGAAGCTGAAGCTCAGTCGCTCAGTTCATGGTTTCAGTCACGCAGCTGTTGAGTGCAGCCGCAGAACGATGCCTTTTCCGATTCCGATGCTTATCATTATGTTCGCGCTTGGCCAGTGTGGTAACTAATCAGAGTGTCTGTTCGCCTGCGTTATCAACAAAATCAGCTAGCCGCGAGTGATAGATAAGAATGACATAGAATAATGCAAAAGTCACCACTCCCCGATACCCTGCCTCCATATCGGTGTTGTCGGATACACTTTGACGGCGGACAGCTGCTGGGGTTAACGTGTAAATGCAACTGTTTGGTACGTTCACGAAAGTGTTTATAGACGTTCTTTCAGCGTGGTTTTCACTGTGCGTGATTGTGAATCGCGTCGTGGCCCTGCTGGAAAAAAATAGAAAGTAGCGGATACTTTTTCAATTTTAAGAAATAACGCTCCTTTGTTTTGCTAGCTCAGATCAGTTATATTTTTTTCAATTTCACTACAATGAAATTCTCGCTTCAACGAAATATTTTCCACGCCTCGTGAATTTTTCGCTGTAGACTCGTTTTTTTTTTCTGAATTTTTGGGTACGAAATTTCGGTCCCTTCCTATTGCAGGTCTTAAGAATATTAGGCCGAAATTCAGTTTTGGTATCGGCATAGCGTTGTGCTATCATAATCATCATCAGGTGTTTGCGTGCTTCTGCACTAGGTGCTAGGTAGTGTTATCGGCGGTAGCAGGCGTTAGTTTTATGGCTTTTCCTTCAACTTGGCGCCCATAACGACGGCATCGATTTTGCTCCTGTGATTTTCTGCCATGTCAGACCAAACGAGCAGAACTCGGCTGCTTTTAAAAAGAAAGTTATCGCTGCTGCCAAAGCCATAGGCAACTGTGCTGCGGAGCAACAGTTCAAGTCAGTGAGCAGCGGAAGCAGAAGGACGCCCTTTTTGCTTGCAGCGGCCAGCGAAAAAGTTTCCGCGGACCAAAAAATAGAACGTTTCCTGACGTGAAACCAGATCTCGCAGACTTTGTGCGGGAGCAGCGAGCTGCTACAAGCGAAGGCAAGGGAGATCACCTGAGACAATGGCATTCAGCCGGAGGACTTCAAAGCGAGCAAGCATTAGGTGTCTCTCTCCATGCGTTGCGCTGGGTTGGCGTACGTCAATTTCGCAGAAGCTATCAAAAAGCTACAAAGAGGACCTTGTGAAGCTTCAAAAGTATGTAATTGCGTTGCGAAAAGCTACCCCTTTTCAGCCAGACCAGATCGGCAACAGGGATCAAACGCCGGTCTACCTGGATATGCCCTCGGCGCTGACAAACACTCTAGGCAAGTTATCGTGCTATCGACTATGAATGAAAAAAACGTGAATGACTGTAATGTTGTCCTGCATTGAAGATGGTCGGAAGCTTCCACCCCACGTGGTGTTCCATCAAAAGAAGGTGCCGAAGGGGGAGAAGTTCCCAAAAAATGTCGTCGTCTGCTGCCAGGACAAAGGGTGGATGAATGAGTCACTAGTGCTTGACTGGATAAAAAACGTGTGGTGTCGACTAGTATCGGTGTCACCTGACCAACTCCGTAAAGTGACTGCTGCATGACCCCCACACCACGCTCCTCGGCACCCCCAGGATGACATCCCAGCTGCAGCGCTTGATGTGCGCCTTAATAAGCCATTTAAGGACCATGTCAAGCACCTGTACACAGAGTGGATGAGTCCGGAGAACGAAAAGTGACCCCTGCCAGATGGCTGAAAAGGGCCTCGCCAGCGATGCTACGCTCGTGAATAGTCGAGGCTTGAGCCTGCATTCCCGAGGCATTCATTTGCAACGAGTTCGAAAAGTGCTCCATCTCGAACCCGCTTGATGTCAATGAAGATGATGTGCTGTGGGACAAGGAAGCTTCAGAAGAGAGTGCATCCGACGACGACGATGAATGAAGTGTGTCAATACAGCAGAATCTCAATGATACCATTACAGTTGATGCGAATTTCGCGATGATACGAATTTTAAGGTTGTCTCGAATG